GGTGGGGGGGCTAGGAACACAGGTGCAACAAACAAGCCACTCTATTTCCTGAGTAGATACTTCAACCTGCTGTTATCCACCCAAAAATAAGCTTGATTTCACACTGATCCGCTGCAAAAACGCATAGGCTTTTTCACTACGATTTCTGAGCGTTTCTTAAAGGACACGTGACTTATAACCTGCACCAAAAATGCTACTCAGATGCATTTTTGAGGTGCTTTTCAGGCATTTTCCATTGATTTCAATGCGAAGAGGCGTTTTTTGGGGCATTTTTTTTAACTGAACAAACATGCCCCAAAGATGCTGCAAGCAGGAGTTTTTACACCACAACTGAAGTGCAATACCCCAGTGTGAAAACATACATAGATATGCATAGACATACTTAGGGAAGCATTTTTCTTGAGCTTTTCAGGTGCTTTTTTTATTGCAAAAGCACTTCAAAAACTCCTCAGTGTGAAAGTAGCCTAAAAGCTTTTTGGAGTAGACAACCTTTATATATAATGCTAGGTTCACACCTAATTGTTTTCTGCAGCATTTTGCAGAAACGCACTACAGTCCATGTAACATGATTTCCTATGGTTCACGTCCCCACGTTTTCACCCAGAGCATTTTTTTGGAAAGGTTTTGGGACTTTTTTAAAAAAGCAACAAGGAAAAAAAAAAAACAGCAAAACATCAAAAATGCGGCCAAAATGCACTGAAAAAAACCCCCTGCAGAAACGGATCAAACACAAACTGCATAGGTGTGAACCCAGCCTTATACAGTATCATAAATCGCTTGAATTAATTTAGAGGTTATGGGGGATTAACACAGAATAATATGGAAACATATTTTTTTTTCTTCTTTTATAGGGATTACGATCTCCAGAAATGAATAGGAAAATGCAGAGCAGAAGGGGTTAGGGGTAGTAAATAGGTAGGGGGAGGGGGAGGGATGAAATGATAAAAATGTTTTGATAATAAGCTAAAGTTTTAATGAGTATATTTGTATAACTTGTTTATCTGAAAAATTTATTAATATTTAAATTTTAAAAAACAAAAAACGTTTCAAGACCAAGCCTTTTCTGACACTTTTTGTGTACATGTAAAAATCAGTATTTTCTAGTAGAAAATTACTTAGAACTCCCATACATTATATTTTTTTTTAAGTGGAGGCCCTAGAGAATAAATTGTTGGGTGTTGCAATTTATTATGTCACGCGGTGTTTGCACAGTGGTTTTTTTAAGCATGATGATTTTTTTTTAGAAATAATAGACTTTTTTTTATTTTAATGCACAAAAACACAATATAATACCCAATCGTTTGGTAACATTAAAACGATGATGATGTTGCCTAGTAAATACAAAATGCGCACACTTCAAAATTGGGCACGCCCACGCACTGCCGACATAACATAAATTTTACTACCCATGCTAAAATTACTGTCCTCGATCTGTCGTTTACAGTGATACCTCACATGTGTGGGACGATCGCTGTTTGCATGTGAGCCTAACTGTCGCATGTGTTCGTCTTTGCGTGTGAGCATGGGGAAGGGGGATGGGGCACTTCAAATTTTTTTCTCTTTACCACTTCTATTGTTATCGCAGGGAAAATAAATATCCCCTGTGATAGTAATAGGCAGTGACAGGTACTCTTTATGGAGAAATCTGGGGTCTATCAGACTCCAGATGTCTCCTCTGCCCCAAAAGCATCTGATCAGACCGGTGTGATTAGATACTTTCCCTATTTAAAAATGTCTACATCTAGAAAAACTGGAAGTGATGTATGCTCATCGCTTCTGGTTTCCTATACCATAGGGGCCATCAGAGCCGTTCCAGTGGAAAGGGAGAGCCCAAGAGAGCCGGAGAAAGCAGCGTGCGGTGGCGGGAGCTCACGTTCCCTCCCGCTGCTTGTAAGAGCAATCCAGTGGCTGATTAGATGCTAGGATTGCTGTTATAAGAAAGCCAACAGATGGCTCTAAAAATGGTACCGTGATGATGCCTGCGGCTGCGGGCTTCATCCTGATACAATAAATTGAAGTCCAGTGACGTACCAATACGTCGCTAGTCATCAAGTGATTAAAACAAACTCCAGACAAATAACTAAATACAAAGATGAAATACATTTAAGGACTAATCTACACTTGCGAATGGGCAGCAGTAAAATCATGCAGTTGAGCCGCATTTTTACACCCCCCCTCTTAAGCTGTAATAAGTAATGGACGGGGGTACACTTGTACACATGCCAAGGCCCTGATGCTCTCGCAATATAAATTAAACCTCCTGGTGTATCTATATTCAACTGAATAGGGCCGCGTTGCAACCACATATGAGGCATGCAGTTTTGGAATGGTAGTGCAGGATTTTAGCTGTTAAAATAGACAGTGAGGAGGCAACATAATGCACACTGCCTTTCAAATGCTCTCTGAAAATCAATCCACCACGATCACTTTTCAGAGGGCTAACACTAGTGTAAACTAGCCGTAAAAGAGTTGTATTAGTGGTCAAACAATTTATACTTTTGTCTATCCGTTTGTAAGATTTACACAGCTTTGCCGCACAGCACAGCCCTGTCTGGTAGGACCTGATTTTTTTGATCTGCAACTGTGAGTAAAACTTACAGATCTCGTCCTTCCCCCATGCTGTAACTGGACAGTGAGGGCCCATTCATACCAGATGAAGTGGGATGCATTTTTGACTGTACTGCAACTGTATAGATAGTTCAAAATCCAGGTTATTCTACTGGCATAGTTCACACTATTGCAGTGCAATGAAAAGAGTACTGCAAGCTGCATTTTTCCACACTGAAAATGCAAGAAATGTGCACAAATGCATGTACATGCACAAAAATGCAGTGCACATAAAAGCCCAAAGAAGACAGAAGTGACCTCAAATGAAATGCAAACTTAGGAAAAATGCACTGCAAATGCATACACACGCGAGTAAAAACACGCGTCAAATATACATCCGTACACATGCAAAAATGTGCAGTAATTGCACAGTTTCTGTTGTGAATGGGCCCTAAAAGGAAAGCAGCAGCTTGATGAGCACATTTCTTTGTCACTCTGCTCCCTCCACGTGTGAGCATGCTCCTTTTTAGCACATGGGCACTGCAGAACAACTGATTGGTTTCCTGTGCTGCATCTCCTTACACAAATCTGAGCTCTGCTACACAGGGACTGCAAGAGGCTGACATCAAGTCAAATTTCAATACTGATACTTGCATAAAAAAAAAAATGAATAAAGATGTACCTGTATTAATAATTAACAAGCTGCATTCATTTGTGTCTTTTATAATTGCCTGGAAAATCAGCTTTAACAAGTAGTTTTATTATTATATTTTCACAAAACAGGTCCTTAAAGCGGAGCTCCACCCAAAAGGGGAAGTTCTGCTTTAAGGACTGCTCCCCCGCTCCCCATTAAGGATTGGCACCTTTATGGGGCGGGGGGGAGCGGGTACCCGAATTTGACAGGTACCCGCTCCCATTTCTGGTCCGATCGCCTAGGCGATTGGAAACGGAAAGTGTCCTCCCTTCCCTTCCTGTATTCTTTTGGGACACGTGACAGGTCCCAGAAGACTACAGGACCATTCATGAAGCGCAGCGCTTCTCGCACATGCGCAGTGGGTACCCAGCTGTGAAGCCGCAAGCTATCACAGCTGGGTGCCCACACTTAAAATGCCGGCGCCTGGAATCCAGGACGGTTGGGGAAACGGGCTGCGGAGGACACACCACAGGACCGAGGGACAGATAAGTGGCTGTTTTTAAAGTCAGTAGCTACAGTTTTTGTAGCTGCTGACTTTTATTTTTTGACAGCATGAGTGGAACTCCGCTTTAAGGTTTGGTTTGCAAATATATTATTGTAATACCAGAGTTACGTTATTAACTCCCAGATTATCCAGTTTGACCTCAAACATTAAGAATAGACAATTTAATATCCAAGCAAACAGGCACAATTAATGTATAGACATGACATCACATAAATAATTCCTGCTTTTACATTGTTTGCTTTATGTTCGGTATTGTATGTCTCATGCTGGAATGGACAGTTGCATTGTTTCAGATCGTTGCACTGCAGTCACAAAATACTTGTATCAGTTTTGGAACAAGGTTTGGACATTATTGTAGATCAGAAGAGCAAACCCTGAGGGTCAGTGCCAAAGATGGGGTCCATTTTTTTAATTGTCTCCAGATTTAGTATTCATACTAACAATTTCTATCATTTCTATGTAGAATGACCGCTAAAAGCCACACCAGCTCTGAGTATAAGTTAATCAGAGGTCTGTAGCTGTCAAGGAAGTTTGTCATGATGGCACCGAGCCCATGTGGTGCAATTGTGCATGTCTTATGACATTATGGCACACAACTGTAGTAATCTCCTACTGGTCAGGTGTTTGCTCAGTTTTTGTAGCTTGTGCAGTAAAGATCCTCCTGGTCTCTTGAGAGGTCAGTGAATGGGAGGTGTTGGAGACAAGCATTGAAGTTTGTTAATATGCTTTATTTCCCAATATGACTATTAACAGAGCCTTTCTCTAAAAACAGCCTCGTCTCTTGACTGAGTGTCCATCCTACAGTGTCCATTGGGGACACCCCTCCTGCTTTTCAAAACTGCATGAAAATGATAGAGAAATATATAAAAAGGGACAGGTCAAAGAACATTTATTACATTAGGGATCAGGAGTTCCAAACTTCATCTCTACTGTAGTACTTTAAAGTCCAGCCAACAGGTCTAGTTTTGTATAGAATGGGGAAGGGTTAGGAGCTGCAATCAGGTTTAGGATACTTTCCCTCATATTGTGTCTGACACCAAACATCTGGACAGGCTGTGAGGGCTAAATCTCCCAGCAGAGCACATCAATGAAAACCTGACTGGGGTTCTGAACCTACTTCATCTAAAACTGGCTGGAGTTGGGGCTCCAAGGTAGAACAAAATTAGCACCATTGGTTGTAGATCACCAGAATTCCAATTGGACGTCTGAGGTTTGTAAACAGAATGTTGCTTTGGTCCTTTGTATGTTGTCAGGCTATATGAGGGATGCCGCACTCTTCACCAGCAGAGGCCTGGCCGCCTCCAGGATATCAATCTCGGGATCCAGCGACCGCCCAAGTCCTTCCAAGACTAAGATGGCAAACACTATAGAAGCAAAGTTACTCTCCAGCTTCACCTAGAAATACAGAATTTCACTGACTGACAATGTTTTGATAGAACGTAAAAGAAACTAAGTAATTTTCTATTAAAGCAAAGTGTCAAATAAGATCTCCGAATACCTTACCCACCCTGCATTCTTCAAGGCTTAGACATAAAAGTCATGATATTCCTGACATTGCTGCAAATCTGCTGCAAAAATGGAATGATCAGCCAATCTATCTCTGACCCCCAGCAGGGATTATGTGACTGTCTATGACTTGTGATGGGCTTTTGTTCAAATGCAGGTCAGAAGGAGGTCACCTGCAGGTCAAACATTCCTGTCAATAAATTCTAAATCTCAGAAGCTTCTCAAACTGACATCCAACCAAAGCCCATTGACACAAGCCCTAAATGTGCCTACTTTAAACAAAGGGAACAGGGGAATCTTAGGAACTTGTAATATTTTTATTCTCCCCTCTTGGACAGCTGTAATAGTGCAGTCTCATCTCTCATAAGGGATAACATACTGTCACTTTGATTACTTATTTGTTATCCTGGCACAGCAGAAGTGTTAGGGTGAGAGTCAGGCTATAAGACCATTCTACCTGAGGTCAGTGCTTATAACAGACACAGGGGCGGACTGACCATTCGAGCACTTGGGCACTGCCTGAGGGCCCGGGGGGTCAGTAGGGGGCCCCATGAAATGCCCCTGGTTTTATAGGCTTTTTTGGGTGTGCTTTGAGTGTGGGCAAGGACACAGGGGCCCCATGATCCCCTATTGCCCGGGGGCCCCATGAGTTGTCAGTCCGCCCCTGAACAGACACCCAAAAATGGTTAGTAGAACACTAGGGACATCGATCAGTATTTTTCACTCAAATAAATCCACTATTAAAATAAAAGGTGAGTGTTCTTATTTAATTTTTGGTGTGCATTGTGTATTTCTTAATGTGCTGTGCAGTGCTTCCTGTAATAAAGACCAGTCTCTGCAGCTCTCTGACTTTGTGCAGGGTGACTGGTCTTGTCTCCGCCCTCTCCTGTAGTTTTCTGTAGGCAGCCTGTAGTGGGTGGGGCCTACTGAGTCCCTCTCACAACTCTGCTCTCTGCACAATCTATGCACAGCATAGTGATGATGTAAATACTACTATCTGGGTTTACAAAGGTATTTGGTTCTTACAAAGTGGATTTATATCCTCTGGAGCTATTGAGAAGTATAAAATGACAGTTTTTGTGCCCAGCATTCTACTTTAAAAAGCAAAAAAAAAAAAAAAAACCACAGAGGATCAACATGACAGCCTGCCAATTACTATTTTCAAAAGTAGATTAGGAAGCATCCCGCTATTGGCTCATTTATACCAGCCCTGTGGGCCTGGTTAAAACTGCTGAAATTTCCTTTATCATCATAAACTATGCCCCCCAACCCGCCCCACCTTCCTTTCTGATATGAGCTATACGATAATCATTAGGAAACTGTCTGGCAAAAATGAAAAGGATATATAGATGATACCTTATGTTTCATCAAAAGACGGAACACCTGAGACAGCAATAATGCAACCTGGAGCTGAAAAAACAAGACGTGTTTTAAAACATGGAAATAAGAGATCTGGTGTATCCAATCAGTATTCATCTTTTTTGTTGCTTCATAAGTATAAGTTGGCAACCAGATTTTTAGAAATCATTTAAAGAGTTACTAAACCCAGGACCCTGCATTCTCTATATGCGGTCTCTCACATTACACAGAACATGGAAATGCAATTATTGTAGTAAATATAAACTGCTAAATACCATTTCTCAACAGCATTTAGAGCAGTCTTGTGACTTCAGCAGAGCACTGGTTAAAGCTTGTAGGAGGAGTTTTCTTTCTGCTCCAGGAGGATGCAGAATCCCTGACCTCTGTCTGGACAGTGCTGATAACATGCACCCTCCCAAGATTAAAAAAAAAAAAAACCTCTCTAGCAATACACACCAAACTGAGCATGTGCATTATTATTATACAGGATTTATATAGCACCAACAGTTTGCTCAGCGCTTTACAATATAAAGGGAGACAATACAGCAACTATACAGTTCAATACAAGAGGGTTAGGAGGGCCCTGCTCCTTGGAGCTTACAATCTAAGGGCATGTGGCTACGGGTTCAGTCTGTCATATTAGGTAGACATCTGAACAAGGGGAGGATCAGAGAAGACAGGATCAAACAGCCTTTTTACACAATGCAGAGGATTAACCCCTTGGGTTCCACAGTGAGTATAACAAGTATGCTTTACTGCATATACAGCCTGATTTTACTGTTGTGGGTTTAGTAACACTTTAAGTTCTGTTTGTGATAATCAGGATGTATTGGAATGTAGTTCTTAATTTGCAATTCTGCCAGCTGAATTGAAGTTTCAAATCTTTTCTATCTCTGTATAGTCCTGTACCCATGCATATTATGATTCGAGACTGATAATACACTGAAAATACTCTCTTCTCTCAGTAAAACATCCTCTCACTCCAGTGCTCTGCGCTGGCAGAGATGAGTAACAGCTACTACCTTCATTACAGAGTCTTGTACTACAAGGGGAGAGAGAGGTCGTGTCAGACGACATGATACTGAGTGCTGATTACTGCATGCACTGGGTATATCTCTGGTGCATATTGGACTACAGTCCTATTTAGTCATTGTGCATAACAGGAGAGTAAAGGTTAAAGCCCATCTCTGGGAAAAACTCCAGTAGGACGAGAGAGGAATGGCAGGGATATGCATGATTTCTCATCCTTCAATCACAGAATGCCTTGTATTGTGTGAAAAAACCCCAAGGCTTTTTGTGAATGGTATGGAGTGAGGAGGGGCATGGTGCAACCGGACACCTTTGCTGCTGTTAGTCGATGCTCTCAAGGCTGCAGCACCTGAAAATAACAGAAATCACCCAAATGGCCCTGATTAAAAGTTTACACACCCTGGAAAGTTTGGCATTGGTACAGACACACAAGGTGACACACGTACGATAAAATGGCAATTAAAGGCTCATTTCCCACATTTTATGGCTTTTTAAATTGCAATTAGTATCTGTGTATAAATAGTCAATAAGTGTGTTAGCTATCATGTGAATGCACTGAGTAGGCTAGATATTAAGCCATGGGGAGCAGAAAAGAACTGTAAAAGACCCGCATGACAAGGTAATGCAACTTTATAAAGATGAAAAAGGATATAAAAAGATATCCAAAGCCTTGAATATGCCAGGCAGTACTGTTCGATCACTTATTAAGAAGTGGAATATTCACGGATCTCTTGATACCAAGCCAAGGTCAGGTAGACCAAGAAAGATTCCAGCCACAGCTGCCAGAAGATTTGTTCGGGATGCAAAGAAAAATCCATAGGTAACCTCAGCAGAGGTACAGGCTGCTCTGGAAAAGATGGTATGGTTATTTCAAGCTGGAAAATACGACAATATTTGAACAAAAATGAGCTGCATGGTCACATTGCCAGAAAAAAGCCTTTAGTGCACCAATGAGTGTCACGTTGTTGCCAGACATATTGTAAACAAGCTTTTTTGTGACATTTGCTCAGTAAATGCTTCTTTCAGGCAACTCGACCATGCAGCTCATTTTTGTTCAAGTTTCATTGTACTGTCCTCTTTTAAAGGATAAGTCAAGTTTTCTACAAAACATAACAAATGCACATTTTTTGTAGGTAAAAAAATTTACATTTATTATATTTTGTAGCAGGAGCCTGTAAAGCATTGCACCAGTGATCAGCAGATCGTAGATGCCATGCAGGTCTCCTTCAGACTGTCAGTGTATCAGCTTGCTCGTATATCCTGTTCCAGCACGCCGATACTTCTGACAGGAAGAGTCAATAAACTGCCACAGCGCTCACAGTGCCATGGTAGTTCATTGAGAACTACAAGCTGACAGCAGCTAAGGCGGTCTAGAATTGTAGTCCATTAATTCACAGGACTCTGAATGAATGATGCACCTGTGTGGGTGGAGCTCCACGTGGTTGTGCTATTTTTAAAAAGTGACAGCTAGTATGGGGAACTTCTCCCCGTACTGCTGTCATAGAGGGGGGGGGGGGGAAATCGGGGGTGGCTGCAGGTTTTGGAACATGTTACATGTTCCTCCCTAAAAATCGGAGAAACATGTAACGTGTTCCCAAAGATGAGCTTATCATTTAAAACAATCACACCATCATTTTTCAGAGCAGCCTGTATTTCTCCTAAGTTTTAAATGTTTTTCTTTGTACCCCGAACAATTCTTCTGGCAGTTGTGGCTGCAATCTTTCCTGGTCTACCTGACCTTGGCTTGCTATCAAGAGATCTCTGAATTTTCCACTTATTAACCCCTGGTTCACATATATGCGGTCGTGCGGGCCGTGTTTTGCGCGGGAACGAGAGCTCATTCATTTGAATGGACTCCCGTGCCCCGTGACACGCAGGGAAGAAGTCCCTGCACGTCTTCTGAAAAAGCAGCCCACACAGGAACCTCTATTCCCAGTACGGTTACGTTTTCCAGTGCGGGTGGCGTGCCATTAGAACTAATGGCACCCACCCGCGGGTCCGCATTCCTCTGTGTGGGTGGTGCGACTGCATGGATTTTTGTGCGGATCCGCAGCGGAACCACCTGCACAGATGTGAACCAGGGCTAATTAGTGATTGAACAGTACTGACTGGCATATTCAAGGCTTTGGATATCTTTTTATATATTTTTCCATCTGTATAACGTTCCATTACCTTGTTGTGCAGGACTTTTGACGGTTCTTTTCTGTTCCCCATGGCTCAGTATCTAGTCTGCTCAGCGCATCCATGTGAGAGGTAACAAACTCATTAACTATTTATATACAGACACTAATTGCAATTTAAAAAGCCACAGATGTGGGAAATTAACCTTTAATTTGCATTTTAATCTGTGTGTATCACCTTGTCTGTCTGTACCAAAGCAAAACAATCCAGGGCATGGAAACTTTTGATCATGGCCCCTTGGGTCATTTCTGGTATCATTTTGATTTAAAGAGAAGCTAAACAACTATGTGATAATAAATGGTTTCATATAATCTCTATCCTTAAATGAAAGAGTTTTTTTTTTGGCATGGTCATATTTTCAATATCAATACCAAAATGTAACAATTTCTGCCAGGGTATGCAAACTTTTGTTTGTGTCGCACAACTGTATGTATACAGACCTTTCTTACACAGGTTAATAAGCATGGGTGTTTTCAAAATTAGTTAGGATTAACCTAGAATTCTTTGATCTCATGGGGACAAAGACAACAATAAAACACCTAAGTTCCAGCCTTCTCCACTCTATTGACAAAAGCTCCTCTTTTCATCTGTGACAATCTCACCTTCCCCAAAGACACTGTACTCTTACGGGCCTCATTCACTAGCTCGGCCATCTGAGACTTGAAAGCTTCCACATCCGTACATTGGTTAGCTCTGGCATGGTGAAGGATCAGTTCTGCCACAGTCTCTCCCTACAGAAGCCAACACAGGTCATTAATATATTTTGGCACTGAAGCTCCACCTTTAACACTGAACTCCATACACATATATCAAAAATATTTAACCCAGGTATGGGGTCATTAAAAACAATTACATCATTAAATAACACTAGCATGTATACAGGTGAAACTTGAAAAATTAGAATATCGTGCGAAAGTCAATTTATTTCAGTAATGCAACTTAAAAGGTGAAACTAATATATGAGATAGACTCATTACATGCAAAGCAAGATAGTTCAAGCCGTGATTTGTCATAATTGTGATGATTATGGCTTACAGCTCATGAAAACCCCAAATCCACAATCTCAGAAAATTAGAATATTACATGCAATCAATAAAACAAGGATTGTACATAGAATAATATCGGACCTCTGAAAACTAGAAGCATGCATATGTACTCAGTACTTGGTTTGGGCCCCTTTTGCAGCAATTACTGCCTCAATGCGGCGTGGCATGGAAGCTATCAGCCTGTGGCACTGCTGAGGTGTTATGGAAGACCAGGATGCTTCAATAGCGCCCTTCAGCTCTTCTGCATTATTCGGTCTCATGTCTCTCATCTTTGTCTTGGCAATGCCCCATAGATTCTCTATGGGGTTCAGGTCAGGCGAGTTTGCTGGCCAATCAAGCACAGTAATCCCACGGTCATTGAACCAGGTTTTGGTGCTTTTGGCAGTGTGGGCAGGTGCCAGGTCCTGCTGGAAAATGAAGTCAGCATCCCCGTAAAGCTTGTCTGCGGAAGGAAGCATGAAGTGCTTCAAAATCTCCTGGTAGACGGCTGCGTTGACCCTTTACTTAATGAAGCACAGTGGACCAACACCAGCAGATGACATGGCTCCCCAAATTAACACAGACTGTGGAAACTTCACACTGGACTTCAAGCATCTTGCAGTGTGTGCCCTCTCCATTCTTCATCCATACTCTGGGTCCTTGGTTTCCAAATGAGATGCAAAAGTTGCTCTCATCAGAAAAGAGGACTTTGGACCACTGAGCAACAGACCAGGTCTGTTTTTCTTTAGCCCAGGTAAGATGCTTCTGACGTTGTTTGTTGTTCAGGAGCGGCTTGACAAGAGGAATACGACATTTGAAGCCCATGTCCAGGATCCGTCTGTGTGTGGTGGCTCTTGATGCACTGACTCCAGCTTCAGTCCACTCCTTGTGAAAGTCCCAAACACTTTTGAATGGTCTTTTCCTGACAATCCTCTCCAGGCTGCGGTCATTCCTGCTGCTTGTGCAACTTTTCTTCCACACTTTTCCCTTCCACATAACTTTCTATTAATGTGCTTTGATACAGCACTTTGGGAACATCCAACTTCTTTTGCAATTACCTTTTGAGGCTTTCCTTCCTTATGGAGGGTGTCAATGATGGTTTTCTGTACAACTGTCAGGTCAGCAGTCTTTCCCATGATTGTGCTTCCTACTGAACCAGACTGAGAGACAATTTAAAGGCTCAGGAACCCTTTGCAGGTGTTATGGCATAATTAGCTGATTAGAGTGGGACACTTTGAGCCGAGAATATTGCACCTTTTCACAATATTCTAATTTTCTGAGATTGTGGATTTGGGGTTTTCATGAGCTGTAAGCCATAATCATCACAATTATGACAAATCACAGCTTGAATTATCTTGCTTTGCATGTAATGAGTCTATCTCATATATTAGTTTCACCTTTTAAGTTGCATTACTGAAATAAATTAACTTTTGCACGATATTCTAATTTTTCGAGTTTCACCTGTACTTGCATCAGACTGTAGGGCAAACTTTGAGCCAATTAGAGCTTGATGGCTTTGATCTGTAAATAGTCTGAACATCTTTACAGAAGGAGACAGCAGAGAGACAACAACCTCGTCAGTATGCTTTGTCTCCTTCACTGTCCAACCATGGGCTGAAGGCAGGTTACTGACCAAGTTACACTGCCTAGCTGTGGTGAAGAACATTCAGGTCACCAACCTTTCTATTCTGCTTGGCCAGACTGATTGAATGACAACATTGGCTAAGCACAGCTTGGCTTGAACCATTCATGTGTGCTTATGTCACTGTTTACTGGGGGTTTCATTTATAAATATGTATAAATTTATTTCAGCTTTTGCTATGACTTCCTACCCATTAATCCCAATGAAGGACACAAACAGCAACCTCCAGCAAGGAATGTTTAGCCTCAATAAAATAATATGTTTTTCTTGGCTTTTTAATACGATTTAAAGTTTATCTCAGAACTGATATTTCAATGTTTCACACTTTCTCTTAGGAGCTGTAGAGATTTTTATTGGAAATATTAGATATACAGTATATTTTCAAGTTTCTCCAACCTGCCAGGGCTCTCATGAAGCCACACAATGGTGTCACCATTGTCTCCTTTGATGGATACTTGGCTATGTATAGTTGAATAAACCAATAATTGGTAATCCTAGCTGTGATTGAGAGTGATGCCTTTAATATGGCCCTGCGGAGAAGCAGAGGCATGTAAATGCATGAATGTGATACATCCTGGGTGAAGCTGGACTTTATCTCAAGTTGTACACGTACTGAAAAATTCACATTTACATGCCCCATGAAGATTTTGTCTGGATCTCATGAACTGAAAAAATATCACTTTACATTCCTGTTGACAAAATAATCAGATCTTCAAGCCCATCTCTCACCTGCCGTAAGACCACTGCAGTAAACACAGATCGGAAATTCTCAAGATCTCTCTCCTGCAGTTCTGCAACGATTCCCGCATCCAGCAACACCAACCGGAGAGAGGGCAGCGGCTGGGGTGAACATTCACAATCAGCGTGTCACACATGTCCACCAACGTGGTCTGCTCAGTCTGTCTTGAAGTAAACTCCTGAGTCCCCTGTACAAGAATATTACCGGGGTGCAGATCAGCATGGACAAAATTATCCACAAACACCTGCAAGGCAAAAACTCAACATGACTATTCACTTTAGGCAAAATAATTCTAGAATAGGTTACTTGGATCATTGTCATGTCATGTCTATTGTCAGTGTATGATACAAAAATGCTCAAACACACAATCCAAATAGTTAACACAAAATACTTAATTAAAATGTAATTACTTCAATATTTGTGATCATATTTTATCTTTAGATTGTAAGCTCTAACGAGCAGGGCCCTCTGATTCTTCCTGTATTCTTACTGTCTGCCCTCAAAGTGCTACACAAACTGTTGGTGCTATATATATCCTATATAATAATAATATGCCAATTGCACTTTTAGTTTAAATTAGCTACATACATTTCAGGTGCATCAAAACAAAAAAAGGTGCTAAAGAAGTCTTACAGTTTGTTTTCTTTAGAAAGTAGCCACAGCTTAAATAGAAAAGCTTGTCCCCTGCCAGCATACTGTAGAGAAAATCCCTTGTGCAGAAGCAGTGGTCTCGCTGAAGAGGTCCAGGAAGCCCCACGCCGAGTTATCCCTGTAGCACTGCTATTAGCAAAGCTCATGCTTCCCACTGATTAAAGACCTTTAGCTCTGTCTCAGGAGAGGGTTTGTTGGACCTCTGCAGAGAGACCATGCTTCCATGCAGAGGACAAGTGTCCTCTGGCTGTGCTGGCAGGAGACAAGCTTGTCTACTCTTGTTTCTATTTTCTAAAGCAAACAAACTGTAAGGCTAGGTTTACATATGCAGCAGTGCTTGCCACCCTTCTGAAAATGACCATGTTGGATCACTTTTCAGGGATGCTTGACATGCTGTGAGGAGGTGATATGTCACCGCTTCACCACCTGGTTTAACCCTGTAACTGCATAAATGACATGCTTGTGGCACAGCCCCATTCACTGGGATTCATCATTCGTGACAGGGGACAATCAGACTTTGCACACTTTTTGTTTTGATGCACCTAGAACGTATTTAGCAGATTTACACTGAAAGCTCAGCTGTGCTCTTAGAGGAGTATATACTCACGTGTATGTTTTGTAGGGGGGGGTCATACTTGACTCGTATTAGCAGTCTAAGCAAGTTTGTCCTGCACGTTTATTCAGCAAGACAGTCAACAAGCACACTTCTATGTGTGTGTACACATTGTTTTTACACTTACCATCTTCAGCAGCATGTCGACACCCATTGCTGCTATTCTTTGCTTGATCTGAGTAGACTCTGACCCTTGGACATAGAGAGACAAAGGTTCACCTTCCTGTAACAAAGGATGGATATGTCACAGCTTAAAGTGTTACTAAACGCAGGAACGTGCATTCACTATATCTGGTGTCACACAGTACACAGAACATGGAAATGCAATTATTTTAGTAAATATAAACTGCTAAATACCTTTCCTCATCAGCAGTATATAGCAGTCTTGTGACTTCTATCAGTGTCCAGCAAAGCATTGGTTAAAGCTAGTAGGAGGAGTTTTTATTCTCCCCTGATTGTCCTATGAGGTTGCAGGACCCCTGACCACTGTCTGGACAGTACTGATTGGCCCTGTGCCGATGACATGCACTCTCCCAAGAGAAAAAAAACTCTCTGGCAATACACACCAAACTGAGCATATTCAGCTTGTCCCCAAGACTCTGTTCTATCAGCAGATGGATTGGGTATACTAGAAGAAGGGGAGGATCATAGAATACAGACTCAAACATCCTTTTTAATTTCATCAATTGACAAATCTTTGCCAGTCCCATTTCCCTATAACTTTAGTTCAGCTATTGGGGAAATCGCAGACAGGGGGTTAGTCACGAACATCATGTCTCTTTCCTGAGTGTTGTTGCAGGTTTACCACCACAGTTTAACGAAAGCAGGATAACAAAAGATATATGAAGCTACAACAAGAACTCTGCTCCACTCTGGAAGGACAGCAAACAAATCAACATTTGATATTTCCTTTCCTATGACGTCTGTTTCCCACTAATATGATACTGATCCCACCCTTTACTCTTCCTTTTCACAATAGTGTTCTCTGTCCTCAAATTGTCCTTACTTTACCCGTCATCTCCACCCTACAGCTTATACATATCACCCTCACCAGGGCAATGAAATATGTGTGGTCATATACATAGACTTATAAAATAAGATGAGTGCAGCGCTAAAATATGAATAGTCCTTATAAATAAAATGCAATAAAATTCATGTATATGATAAAAGTTCATAATAAGTGTAAAGAGCTCAGCGTGACGTCAAATATCCCCAATCCATCACTTCCTCAAAAATTGGTGATAGGCAGAGTATGGATAAATTGCGCACTCACCGGATGCACAAAGGTATTGCGCAATGTATAGATAAATGGAGGTCTGCCAATGGGTCCCTCTCAGGTTAGGAATGGAATCAGCCCAGGATGGATGGATGTCATCAGGAATACTCAACCCTAGGTCCACTTTAAGGACACGGGTGCAGCCTCTTCAATATGATGGGATAGTCACCAGGGGGAGCTCAAGACAGATTTAGGCATTGCGTGTTTGAAAGCATTGCAGAAATCCACCAACTTCTTCTCATAGTATTTGCAGATAATCACCTCTTCATGAGGCTACACATTAAATATTTCACCCAAGTATGCCTGTCCTGTCGCTCGTATCCGGGCCCGACACCGACTATTAGCCTGTGTCCAGAGTCGCTGTACTTCCTCCTCGCTGGGGAAGATGACAAACTCTTTCCCCTTTCCTGTCCAAACTTGGCCACCTCTGTCTACAACAGTTCACTCTCAACCGCACTGGACGCACATGCTCCTCTAACTACACGAAGAATCAGGCCACAAATGTTACAACCCTGGCAAAATGACAACACCAGAGATCTCATGAGATGTCATGCTCTTGAAAGACTGTGGCGTAAAACCAAATCCCTCCAGATCTTCACCCTAAATAAATCTGCTCTCCATTACCATTACTCCCTCCATGCTGCCAAACAAACTTACTATGTCTCTCTTATTAATACCTTGTCATTCAGTCCTCGCTGGCTCTTTGCTACTTTTAACTCTCTGCATTGTCCCCCACCTCCTATACTCAATAACTCACTCACTGCTCAAGAGATTGCCAATCACTTCAAAGACAAGATTGATGCAATATATGAGGACACATCCGCTATACAGATATCATCCCCACTTAACATACCTTGTCCAAAAACACAATCAACACTTTCCTTTTTTGACCCAGCTACTGCTGAAGAGGTTACCAAACTGGTCTGAGATGCCCACCTAACCATTTGTCCCCTGGATCCTGTTCCCTCACAACTACTACGGTCACCCTCTTCTATCCTATGCTCTCTCACTCACTTGTTCAATCTCCCTCTCTTCTGGCACCTTCTCCCCCCCCCTAAAGCATGCACAGATCACACCAACCTGAACAACTTAAGACACATCTCCTTGCTCCCATTCACCTCTAAACTTCTAGAATGCTTAGTCTACAACTGTCTTAGCTCCTACCTCACTGAAAACAACATTCTTGACCCCCTACATTCTGGCTTTCCTTGCAGCATTCCACAGTAACTTCCCTGCTAAAACTCACTAATGATTTACTATCTGCTAAAACCAATATCCACTACTCCATACTCTTACTACTATACCTCTCTGCAGCCTTTGATACAGTTGACTCCTACTCAGTAAACTCCACTGCCTTGGTCTCTGAGATTCAGCTGTATCCTGGTTCTCTTCCTACCTGTCACAGCCCTCCTTCAGTGTTAACTATAACTCTGTCTCCTTCTCTCCACTTCCTCTTTCTGTAGGGGTCCCCCAAGGCTCTGTTCTTGGACCCCTTCTCTTCTCTATTTACACCACCTCTCTTGGTCACCTGATAACCTCCCATGGCTTCAAATACCACCTCAATGCCAATGACATCTAAATCTATCTCTCTACCCCTCACTCCTTCAGTCTCCTCTTGCATTACTAACTGACATATCAGCATGGATGTAGTACTACTTACTTAAACTACAGTTGCATTAATTGGGCATAAAATGTGCTCTGAACGTCATCTAAGTCACAACAATAGAAGAACACAGTCTGCTGAACATAATACTACACAAACATTAGATGTTGCAATGTTTTAATTGCACATAACATGTAAACATTCACAGTGCAGGGAGGAAAGAGTATGTGAGGCCCTAGCTTAATGACTTCTCCCAGAGCTAATTGGAGCCAGGAGTGAGCCAACCTTGACTCCAATCAGTGTGATGATATTGGATGTGTTGCTGACAGCTGTCCTGCCCTTAAAAAACACACACCTGTTTTGGGTTTACTGGTTTCAAGAAGCACTGTCTGATGTGAACCATGCCTCGCAGAAAAGAGCTCTCAGAAGACATACGATCAAGAATTGTTGACTTGCATGAAGCTGGAGTTACAAAAGTATCTCCAAAAGCCTTGATGTTCATGTGTCCACGGTAAGACAGACTGTCTACAAATGGAGAAAGTTTAGCACTGTTGCTACTCTCCCTAGGCGTGGTCGTCCTGTAAAAATGACTGCAAGAGCACAGCGCAGAATGCTGCATGAGGTAAAGAAGAATCCCAGAGTGTCAGCTAAAGACCTACAGAAATCTCTGGCACATGCTAACATTTTTGTTGACATATCTACAATAAGGAAAACATTAAACAAGAATGGAGTACATGGGAAGACACCACGGAGGAAGCCATTGCTGTCCAAAAAGAATATTGCAGCACGTTTGAAGTTTGCAAAAGAGCACCTGGATGTTCCACAGCACTACTGGCAAAATATACTGTGGACAGATGAAACCAAGATTGAGTTGCTTGGGAAGAACACACAACACTATGTGTGGAGAAAAAAAGGCACAGCACACCAACATCAAAACCTCATCCCCACTGTAAAACATGGCGGAGGGATCATCATGGTTTGGGGCTGCTTTGCTGCCTCAGGGCCTGGATGGATTGTTGTCATTGATGGGAAAATGAATTCCAGAGTTTATCAAGACATTTTGATGGAAAACGTACGACCATCTGTCCGCCAACTGAAGCTCTGCAGAGGATGGGTGATGCAACAGGACAATGACCCAAAGCATACAAGTAATTCAACAAAACAATGGCTGCAACAGCACAGAATACGCCTTCTGGAGTGGCCCAGTCAGAGTCCTGACCTCAACCCGATTGAAATGCTGTGGCATGACCTTAAGAGAGCGATTCACACCAGACTTCCCAAGAATATTGCTACACTGAAACAGTTTTGTGAAGAGGAGTGGTCCAAAATGACTCCAGATCGTTGTGCAGGTCTGATCTGCAACTACAGGAAACGTTTGGTTGGGGTTATTGCTGCCAAAGGAGGGTCAACCAGTTATTAAGTCCAAAGGTTCACATACTTTTTCCTCCCTGCACTGTGAATGTTTACATGTTATGTGCAATTAAACCATGGCAACATCTAATGTTTTTGTAGTATTATGTTCAGCAGACTGTGTTCTTCTATTGTTGTGACTTAGATGACGTTCAGAGAACATTTTATGCCCAATTCATGCAAAACTCCACGTAATCCCAAGGGGTTCACATACTTTTTCTTGCAACTGTAAATCTCTCTAAAACCGAGCTGATAATATTACCTCCCCCTCGTGCACTCCTACATGACTTTTCCATCAAGATCAATAATACAACTAGCAGTCCCTCCCCTGAAGCCAGGGTACTAGATGTAATTCTAGGCTCTGACCTATCCTTTTGGCCTCAAAACCAATCACTGTCAAAAGCTTGTAGACTTCTCCTTTGTAACATCTTTAAAATTCGCTCCTTTTTACCAATGAAACTGCCAAGCTACTCGTTTATTCCCTTGTTATCTCTCGCCTTGACTATTGCAACTCCCTTTTCATAGGCCTACCTCTCCGTAGGCTGTCCCCTCTTCAGTCTACTATGAATGCTGCTGCCAGGATCATCTACCTTACCAACTGCTCAGTGTCTGCCACCCCTCTCTGCCAATCCTTCCATTGGTTTCTGATTGTCCAGAGAATTAAACTCAAAATAATAACAACATACAAAGCCATCCACAACTCTCCTCCAAGCTACATCACCAATCCTGTCTCCAAGTATCAACCAAACCGTCTACTCCATTCCTCTCGTGATCTCCTGCTCTCAAGCTCCCTTGTCTCCTCTTTCCATGCTCGTCTCCAGGACTTTGCCAAAGCGTCTCCCATCCTCTGGAACTCTCTACCTCAATCTGCCTGTCTATCCCCTACTCTGACTGCCTTTAGGTGATGCCTGAAAACTCATCTCTTCAGGGAAGCCTATCACACCTTCAAATAGACATGTATTACTACTATCAGATCATCCCCCACAGTTATAACCTTTTGTACCTCTTGCCCCACCCTATTAGATTGTAAACTCTAATGAGTAGTGCCCTCTTAAGCCTCTTGTTTTGATTGTGTTGTAGCTGTACTGTCTCCCGTTTATATTGTAAAGTGCTGTGCAAACTATTGGCACTATATAAGTCCTGTATAATGATAATAATAACACACAATACGGAGGATTAACCCCTTAGGTTCTACAGTGAGCATAACAAGCATGCTTACTGATTTTACTGTTGTGAGTTCAGTAACACTTTAAATGAATGCTTTCATGAGAGAAAAATGAAGGCTGCTATCGTTGACCTCTCCAGAAAATGCTAGTTACCTGGCAGCAATAGTAATCTCCATATTTCTGAGTTTCAGGTTCCAGCATAGACTTTGTCCTAATACTCACCTCAAAGGTCTCCACAAGGATGTTCCTTGTAACGAAGGGTCGCAGTGGGATAGGAAACTTTATAAAGTCAATTTTTTCAAACTTTTGATGAAATATCTCCAAATTTCTGGCTTCATATTTGAGATTTATCTGCAGGAAGAAGAGGAAAAGTTGTTATGCTTGTTTTAGACAGTTCTTATACTCTACAGTTATAACCTCCAGCTAATTATTTTTATTTTATTTTGGAAAGAGCAAAGAAGGGTTGCAGCCTCTGTCAGATTTTTACTGTCACTTTGATTTCCTTTCACTTCCTCTCAGGATAGCAAATCTCTCCAACAGGCATATAGACAAAAACGTTACAGCATAGTGGGTAATGGTTAGAATGAGGTTCTGTTGCTGTCAGCACCTTCCTGCCCTGATAAAAAAAAACTACCTGATGGGTCAAAGATGAAAATAAAAGCTTGACTGAAATTTTAAATTATTACACTCTATCCATATTTAAAAAAAAAATTAAAGCTGAACTCTGACACCCTTTCCCAACTAATCACTAGGTTAGCTTGAAAAAAAAATACTCTAAATGCCAGCAATACTCACCTAAATCACCTTCGGTTCCACGTGGAAGCACTAGGGCTGTTGGTTTGAATCCCAACCATAGCACCACCTGCCTGGAGTTTGCATGTTCTCCTTGTGGCTGCATCTGTTTTTTCCCACACTCCAAAGACATACTGGTAGGTTAACTGGCTCCTATCTAATTTGGACCTAGTATGTAAATGTATGAAGGTGAGTCAGGGACCTTAGACTGTACGCTTCTTGAGGGTTAGGGACTGATGTGAATGTACAATATATATAAAGCTCTGTGTAAACTGACAGTGCTATACAAGTACCTCTAATAAATAAATCCATGGTTATATTAATTCTTCCTTGCAGTAAGGAGTGTCCTTTAAGGATCTACTTGGGTGACGTGGTAACACTGTATTGGCAACACAGAGACAAGGTTCCTCTGAAGACTGGAGCAGCTTATGATGTTAGGAAGAGGTGACCAGTCTACTGCCGAGCTGGACCAAGCAGTTGTTACTTCCAGGGGCAACATTATTGAAAGACACAGATAGCAGACTTAAGTAAAAGATGCTTGTTTAGATATTTGTAAATAATGGTGAACCTCTAGACTGTCCATAATTTTAAAAGGGCACCCCATTCTAAAATGTGAAAAACTATTCTAATATTTTTTTATAACACACCAACATCCACACATGTAGGACATCCAACATTAGAGGTGATTTATTCTTCCAAAACAAATACACAATTGCACACTTGTACTGAGTAGTATTCCAGTGTTTCTCTTCTCCCCCAGTTTTTCTCCATCACTGAGCTAATGTGACCCCAGCACTGATGGAGAGGGGCAGGGGAGGGTCAAAATAAGATACTGTGCAGGTAACCGATATCCTGCTTATCAACTTATGATGTCATTGGTTGTCAGGCGGCTAGAAGGTCGTAATGGTGCACAATGAAAACCCGTGGCTTTGTGTAACTAAAAGGCAGGCTTCTTCCACCCGCTGGCTTGTATACAAGTTTTGGGCAATTTTTAGACATTTTGCCAAGGCACCCCTGAAAGAGCCTCAAGGCACCCCAGGGAGCCTGGGCACCCTGGTTGAGAAAGGCTGGTTTAGAGGTTACCATTTCTGCCTTGCAGTACTAGGGTCCCTGGTGTGAATGCTGGTCACTCTTTAAAGCTCAAGAAACATCTCATGAAACCATCTCTCTTTGCTGGTCTCTGCAGTTGAAAAATAAAAAAGATTACATGCTGGCACAAGGGGCAAAGCTTTACAAAGGAATGTCATCATTCATGTGTGCCTAGAACTGCAAGATGTCTTAATACAGCCCTGCTAACAGTTTAACTCACTTGCCGAGTCATGAGTTTCTCAAACTCCTCCACAATCTCAGTCAGGCTCAGCCACCTGAATCCAGGGATGAGGTCAAGCAGTCGGCTCCAGGTCTTCATTAGGAGGAGGTCCATTTTAACCTGTTGTCTTAGACCTGGATGCAGGACCTAGATGGGGGAGCAAGCAGAAAGTAGTGTCATGCAGTGTTCCACTGTCCAGCTCAGTCCATGATTCCTGTTACACAAAAAGTGAAGGTCTGCTTTACGGATAGTCTCAGCCCCCCCAAATATAAATGGTTTTAAAATGCCATTGGAAAATAAATAAATACATGAAAAATGCTTCTAGGAAGCAGGGTGCCCTCCAGAGGAGCTGGACATACAAAATCCTGTGAAAATGTGCTTTAACCCAGTGATGGGCCAAAGCATATTTTTTATAAAATCTTTTTACTTTACTTTTCAATGGCCTTTTAAACCAATAGTAGTTGTGGACTGTCCATATTCCGGGCTTTCCATTTTCATGTAAGGTGCGCTTTAACCATATGCTCAGTTTGAAATGTCTAGATTTGTAGCAGGTAGAGGATTACACGTGCATATGCTTGAATGCTCAATTGAAGAACACATTTCACTGTAAGGGTCACCATACAGGTTACAATCTAACCATACAATATTTTTACAATCAACTTTAGATTTACCAAAACTATATAATCAGAGCAGCTACCTAATCTAACCAATTAATCTGTATCCATTGAGGCAGGCACTTTCACTTTATAGTTTTAGGAGATATAAGGGTTCATGTACACTGCAGCTCCTAAACTGACGTTCAGGAGCTTTTCTGCGTTTTTTTTCAGCAGCCCCTGAACTCTCCCTAATGTTTTCCTATGAGTCCATGACAGTCGTTTACAGGCAGTTGAGTTTACAGTCTTTTTTTGAACGCACCAAACTTGCATTCAGGAGTAGATTTTACCGGCTTTTTTCAAACGCCAAACGCTTGTAAATGCGGTTAACCACGTTTATAAGCATTTGCGTTTAAAAGCGATTTTTAACAGTTCCATGTCCAGATGCTGTCCAGAGCCTTTTTTCATCATCAGAAATGCATGCAAAGCGTTTTCCATGTATTCAAATGGACCTAGTACACCAACGCAGTCAGTTCCAGGTTTTGCGTGAAGGAAAAAATGGTAGAACGTGCCGCATTATGTTCATGATGGGATCCATAGTGAATACAACCAGAAAAGACAGATAATCTCAACACATACTGTTTTCTCTGCTTCTGCTCTCTCTATTCCTCTCAAAATGTCTGAAATAGTTAATTTTTTACTATTTTTCAGTGCATTCGGGGCATTTGGGAAGGTCTCCTGAGGTTATACTTTAAAAACGCTTCTAAATGCAAACACACATAAACGCGGTATGCAAACGCTGCTAAACAGACGTTTTTTAACCTATGCTTTCCAGCAGTCAGTTTCCATTGTTCAGAAGAGTTTTCCAAACGCCCCGTGTACATGAGCCCCAAGGGCTTGTTCTTACATTCAGTAGCCCCTTCCACCTTTTTGAAAACAGATCTGCAGTGTTTCACATCTCAGAGGTGTTTGACAAGTGGTGAGGCCGCCGTTTTAGGCCCCATTCACACCAGCAGACCAATGGGGTCCGCCTGTCCGTTTTTCAGGCAGACCCAATCGGTCCATCTACAGACAGATGTACCGGTGGGTGTCAGCAGACAACAGTCCACTGACACCCACCAGCATCCGATCCAATCCTGTACGCCAAAAACAGACGGATGGGGATCCGTTTCCCATCCGTCCAGTGGATCGGATGACAATTGGGTGGAAATGGACAGGCAGTCCGTTTCCATCCGACTGTCCCATTGAAATCTGCTGGCAGTGTCTGCGTCCGCTCTGCGCCAGCAGAGCAGAGCAGAGACCTGTCATCTGCCTACTCAACAGGGATCAACAGAGAGATCCCCCGCTGAACAGGCGGATCACAATGATGGATCTACCCCATCTGAAAGGGCCCTAACCCTGTAAATGCCACACCACTGCGCTGTAACAGTGTACATTACACATGATTGCAGGGAGGTTATGCTGCAACCCCACACACTTAAATGGGTTGTGTTCAGTGGTGGTACCACCTTCTGAATGCAACATGCTGTTTAATTTTTTCTTCAGCTGCTGCATGTGTACAGGCCTGTTCTTTAGGTGGGCAGAGGTAGCGGTGGTAAAACTGTGGCTCAGCTGAGCCGACCTTCTCCACCAAGGGCATAGACAGTAATACAAAATGTAAAATACTTTTTATAATATAGAGAGAGAAGAGGTGAGAAATTCTTTCAGCTTCTTATTGCTGTCTTTGCCCATGCTGGGGAGATCCACGATTTCACATTCAGTTGGGCTGTCACAGAGTGAAATCAGCCATGAAACAGAGTTTCAAAAATTCTGCAATGGAACATAAAAAATGTAGTACTTTTGGTCACTTTTTGGTCATTTTGGCCTTACTTTTACGGCGACAGGAATCAAGTGATGAGAATCATCTTCTGATCCCTTTATGGATAAAGGATCTGGGTCTTCTTTTTGGATATCGCAGGTTCCACCAGTATCTCCTTGGTTTTCAGGAGCGTCATGATCAGATGGTCTCCTTTTTCCTAGAGGCCTGAAAATTCCACCAAGCCCCGCCACTTCCCATGCCTCAAAGCCATAGTCACTCCCAACGCTTCCAATCAAGGATTGTGATTCCATAGTATCCATAACAGATAGGTCAGCGTAGGCTTTGTACACCTGAGCAACACAGCCAGAACCTACAGGTTCCTTACTTGGAAATGTTAACATTTGTCCATAGTTATCTCCGAAGGCTCTTTTCAGGCAAAACTCGGTGTAACCCCAAGAGTGTGGTGCCACCTTAACATGAAGTTTGGAAAATTTGGCACAGAACATTTCAGAGAAAATATCTCTTCGAGTGCTAGCCCACTGGCCAAGTTTAATGCACGCTGGCCCTGATGACTCGGTGGCCTTCAGCAGAAGATGAAGCCACAGGGTATAAAATCTGGCTGAAAAGAATGTCAATGGATACACTAGTAAGAGCGGCCCAAATTTCAGGAAGAGGATGCAAGACCGCGCAACCAAGTGCACAATGAAGCTGGTCTTTTTCAGGAGGCTATCTCCAGATTTCTGATGACTTGGTGAAGCTCCAGGAACCATGGCCACCTCTGCTGGTACTACCCCTTGGTATAGTCTTTCACATTCCGTTGGCACATACCTGATGCCCAGGCACATCATTGTGATCTTCGAGAAGCTTTTTATTCTGCTGTGCTTGAATATGTTTCCCTGATATCGAAGTGCAATTTCCTTCCACCTAGATACATTCCTGGAGCCCCTGAAACAGCATATCCTGCTGCAACACAAGAAGCCAGTTCTCAAATGCAAAATCTGTGACATTGCAGAAGTCAGGTCATCCACAGGCAGTAGTAGCTCTGCTTCCTGCCTAGTCAGTCTTCATGGAGGGTTAGATCAGGCCGATCACCAAGACTACCTCTGCTTTCCTTGTCTCTTATTTCACGAGCTTGCCCGTCACGTGACCCGTACTACTCCATGAAGACACCGCGATTCCGAGAATGGAACGCAGCGAACAGCAACATCCCAACCGAATGACAGCAGGCGGCCCCGCCCCCAGAGACCACGTGCACTCTATTAACTCTCGCATGGCCACAACACATTGCACTAGGTGACTAGGAGGAGCTTCTGTCTGATTTACATGGACAAGCGGGACTCTGGGGAGGAATCAGTGACAGCCATCAGACAGTATTGACTTTTATATATTGATGAGCAATCTTCTAGTGTTTGCATAGCAGGGAATTTTTCATATAATGTTGATATAATTTTAATATAATACATCCATGTGGTTTTCCTTATAATAATACATCCATGTCTAATAATATAATACATCCACGTCTAATAATATAATATATCCACGTCTAATAATATAATACATCCACGCCTAATAATATAATACATCCACGCCTAATAATATAATACATCCACGTCTAATAATATAATACATCCACGTCTAATAATATAATACATCCACGTCTAATAATATAATACATCCACGTCTAATAATATAATACATCCACGTCTAATAATATAATACATCCACGCCTAATAATATAATACATCCACGCCTAATAATATAATACATCCACGCCTAATAATATAATACATCCACGTCTAATAATATAATACATCCACGCCTAATAATATAATACATCCACGTCTAATAATATAATACATCCACGTCTAATAATATAATACATCCACGCCTAATAATATAATACATCCACGTCTAATAATATAATACATCCACGCCTAATAATATAATACATCCACGTCTAATAATATAATACATCCACGTCTAATAATATAATATATCCACGTCTAATAATATAATATATCCACGTCTAATAATATAATACATCCACGTCTAATAATATAATATATCCACGTCTAATAATATAATACATCCATGTCTAATAATAATAATACATCCACGTCTAATAATATAATATATCCACGTCTAATAATATAATTAGAGATGAGCGAATCGAACCAGGCGAACCGGAATTCGATACGAATTTCAGGAAAAATTTGATTCGCGTCGAATCCGAATATTTGCCTAACTTCGGGTGCGAATCGGATTTTTTCCCGATCAGCCGGCAAAAGTGTCCCTGCAGAGAGCTCCGCTATTTCTGACATTTCTCTGACAGTTCCTTCACATGTACAGCGGTTTTTTTTTTGTATCTTTTAGTTTCCATTTAGGATCACCTCATCCTCAGAAGAAGAAGGAAGAGGATGAGGATGAAGAAGAAGAAGAAGAGAAGAAGAAGTAGGATGAAAATAAGAAGAATTCCAAGCCGGCAAAAAAGTGTATCTGCAGAGCTCCTCTATTCTGCAGATACACTTAGAGGAGCTCTGCAGATACACTTAGAGGAGCTCTGCAGATACACTTTTTGCCGGCTTGGAATTAATCTTATTTTCATCCTACTTCTTCTTCTTCTTCTTCTTCATCCTCATCCTCATCCTCAGAAGAAGAAGAAGATGAGGATGAGGATGAAGAAGAAGAAGAAGTAGGATGAAAATAAAAGATAATTCCAAGCCGGCAAAAAGTGTATCTGCAGAGCTCCTCTATTCTGCAGATACATTTAGAGGAGCTCTGCAGATACACTTTTTGCCGGCTTGGAATTAAATTATTTTCATCCTACTTTCTTCTTCTTCTTTCTTCTTCATCCTCATCCTCATCCTCAGAAGAAGAAGAAGAGGATGAGGATGAAGGAAGAAAGAAGAAGTAGGATGAAAATAAGAATAATTCCAAGCCGGCAAAAAGTGTATCTGCAGAGCTCCTCTATTCTGCAGATACACTTAGAGGAGCTCTGCAGATACACTTAGAGGAGCTCTGCAGATACACTTTTTGCCGGCTTGGAATTAATCTTATTTTCATCCTACTTCTTCTTCTTCTTCTTCTCATCATCTCATCCTCATCCTCAGAAGAAGAAGAAGAGGATGAGGATGAAGAAGAAAAGAAGAAGTAGGATGAAAAATTAAGAATAATTCCAAGCCGGCAAAAAGTGTATCTGCAGAGCTCCTCTATTCTGCAGATACACTTAGAGGAGCTCTGCAGAGTTACACTTAGAGGAGCTCTGCAGATACACTTTTTTGCCGGCTTGGAATTAATTTTATTTTCATCCTACTTTTCTTCTTCTTCTTTTTCCTCATCCTCAGAAGAAGAAGAAGAGGATGAGGATGAAGAAGAAGAAGTAGGATTTATGAAAATAAGAATAATTCCAAGCCGGCAAAAGTGTATCTGCAGAGCTCCTCTAAGTGTATCTGCAGAGCTCCGCTTTTTTGACAGTTTGTGACATTCACTCCATACAGCGGTTGAAACATTTGTATATATTTTTTGTTTCCATTTAATGGATCCATTTTTGGAAAACAAATAGATACAATTTTCAACCGCTGTATGGAGTGAATTTTTTTTTTGTACAGAAATAGGCTATTTCTGACAGTTCTGTGACATTTCACTCCATACAGCGGTTGAAACCGCTGTAATGGAGTTGTCCCCAGAACTGTCATCCAAATAGGACTATTTCTGACAGTTCTGTGGACATTTTCCATACAGCGGTTGAAACCGCTGTATGGAGTGAATGTCACAGAACTGTCAGAAATAGACAGAAACTGTCACAGAAATGTCCTTCTTCTCATCCTTCTCCTTGTTTCATCCTTCTTTTTCCTTTCTTCTCATCCTTCTCCTTCTTCTCATCCTTCTCCTTCTTCTTCATCCTTCTCCTTCCTCCTTTTTTCTTCTCCTTCTCCTTCTTCTTTTCCTTCTTCTTCTCATCCTTCTCCTTCTTCTCATCCTTCTTCTCATCCTTCTCCTTTCCTTTTCTTTTATTAAAATTCTCCTTCTTCTCATCCTTTCTCCTTCTTCTCATCCTTCTCCTTCTTCTCATCATCCTTTCCTTTTATTCCTTTTTTCATCCTTCTCCTTCTCCTTCTTCTAATCCTTCTTCTTCTCCTTCTTCCCTCATCCTTCTCCTTCTTCTCATCCTTCTTCTCAATCTTTCTCCTTTTTCATCCTTCTCCTTCTCCTTCTTTTCATCCTTCTCCTTCTTCTCATTCCTTCTTCTTTCCTTTTCCTTCTTCTCCATCTTCTTTATCATTTCTTTTTTCATCCTTTTTTCTTCTATCCCTTCTCCTTCTTTCATCCTTCTCCTTTCCTTTTTTTTTCCTTCTCCTTCTTCTCATCCTTCTCCTTTATTCTCTTCCTTCTCCTTTTTCTCATCCTTCTCCTTCTCCTTCTTTCATCCTTCTCCTTCTCCATCTTCTCATCCTTTCTCCTTCTCCTTTTCTCATCCTTTTCTCCTTCTCCTTCTCCTTCTCCTTCTTCTCATCCTTCTCCTTCTTTCATCCTTTCTCCTTCTTCTCATCCTTCTCCTTTTCTCACCTTCTTTTCTCTTAATTTCTTCTCATCCTTTCCTTCTCCTTCTTCTTTTTTCCTTCTCCTTTCCTTCTCCTTCTCCTTCCTCATTTCCAAGGGCATTTAAATTAAAGGTACAGTGTTCTTGCACTAATTTAAAGGCTCTCTGAAGCCTAGAAAATTTTTTAAGTTTTTATAAGTTAAATCGTAGCGAATTAATTCGCATCGAATCGAATTTTTTTACCTGAAATTCGGCGAATCAGCCGAATCGAATTTTTGAATAATTCGCTCATTTTATAATATATCCACGTCTAATTAATATAATACATCCACGCCTAATAATTTAATTATCCATGTCTTTAATATAATATATCCATTTAATAATTTATTATTTTTTTTAATAATATAATACATCCATTTTATAATATTTTAATACATCCATGCCTAATTATAAATACATTTTTAATTTATAAATACATCCATGTCTAATAATATTACATTTGTTAATAATATAATACATTATGCCTAATTATAATACATTTTTTTTTTAATAATATAATATTTCCACGTTAATAATATAATACATTTTGCCTAATTTTTTTACATACATCCACGTTTTTTTAATAATATAATTCCACGCCTAATTAATATAATACATCCAGTCTAATAATATAATACATCCATGTCTAATTAATATAATACATTTTTCCATTTTAATAATATAATTAAATTTTTGCCTAATAATATAATACATCCACGTCTAATAATATAATATATTAAACGTTTAATAATATAATACATCCATGCCTAATTTTTATATATTACATCCATGTCTTTAATAATATAATTTTCCACGCCTTTAATATAATATATCCACGTTTTAATAATATAATACATCCACATTTATATATATATGTCTAATTATATAATACATATTTTTTAATAATTAATAATTTTCCATGTCTAATAATTAATACATCCACGCCTAATAATATAATACATCCATTTTCTAATAAATATTTTTTTTTACGCCTTAATAATATATTTTATACGTCTAATAATATTTTACATCCACGCCTAATTTTAATACATCCATTTTTAATATAAAATTATCCATGCATAATAATGTAATGTTCCATTTTAAAATAATATTTTTATTTAATAATATAATGTATCTTTTTGTCTAATAATAAATTATATCCATGCATAATAATTATTTTTACATCCATAAATTATATAATATAATTTTTTGTTAATAATTAAATATATCCATTTTTTTTAATAATAAAATATTTCCATGTCTAATATAATATAATATATATTTTTAATATATTTATATATATTTAATAAATATATTATATTATAATATATCCATAATAATAATATAATATATTTATAATATCCATATTTTATAATATAATATATCCATGCATAATAATATATATATATAATATCCATATATAATAAT